CGTGTATTTGGGTTGAACTGAAACTGTAAAGCTTGGTTAAATCAAAGGCTTAACCAATAAGCTCAGTGAACGACAGTTTAGACTAAAACTTAACATCTAAAGCGGAAATGCGGAGTATAATATAACTGTCTAACTAAGAAAACGGTTTAAGCAGAATAATCAAATAATATTAATATTTTGTACCATGCTTTGATGCTCATGTATATCTTATATGATGCGTATTCCATTTTACTCAATACGACATAAGTGGAATTAATTATATGCGGAAGCTGTGTATACATTGAAGAAAAGATAATTTAGATTAAATGTTTTTCTTTTATCGTACTATTATTCTCTTTTATATACATCCTTCTACAACTTTTCTGTTTATTTTATCTTTTATTCTACACTAATTTGCATTCATAGTTAAAACCTTGAAATTTTCTTCAATTATACTAATTATAATTTATGCTTTTAAATTGTTGCCATAAAAGGTTCATTTGCAAACTCGGGCAAGTCAATTATGAAAGCATTCTTTTCTATTCACCTATTAGACAGTGTATTCCTGTTTTCTTTATAAGAGAAGATGTATGGAGAAAATAAAAATTTTCTTCAAATACACAGTATATCGTGAGGTGTTAAAAAAACACCAGAATAGTTTTAAATAATCTGCAACCTCTCTAGGATTAAATTAACACCAGAAAGGATTAAAATAACCCATTTTGGTGTTATTTTTTACTATGAATGAAATTTTACTATAAATCAAATACCAAGTCAACGATTTGTCAAAATTCGACGAATTTAGCTTCACCAGAGACAATAGTTAGTTAGTAACTGACTTACAAACAAACTTACTAACTAACGAGCTAAGTAACTTTATAACTTACTAAGTAGCTTACTATCTTTCTAACTAACTTACTAACTTTCTAACTAACTTACAAACTTAATTACTAATTAACTTACTAACTAACTTACTAACTACCTTTCTAACTAATTTATTAATTAACTTATAACTGACTTATTAACTAACATTCTAACTAAATTACAAACTTAATTACTAACTAACTTCAGGGTTGCCACAAGTCAAGGAATTCAGGGAAAAGTCAGGGAAAGTAGAATTGGTCAGGGAAATTAGGGAAAAGTTAGGGCTTTTATTAAAAGTACTGGATAAAATTAAACAATCATAAAATTATTACTTACTTAATGAATAATTTTACTTAAAGTTTCAAAATTAATTGGATTTCAAAAGAGTAGCGTTTACAATCTTCATAAACAGATGAACTTCAAAAGTTTCAATTTGAAATTTTAGAAAATAATTATTATTAATGAATTTAAATAGAGATTTTAAGAACAACTGATTACAGAAATTCAATTATTTTCAAAAGTGATGAACTTCTTCGCATAAATTTAATTATGTTCAAAAATTTTTTTAAATCTTGTCAAAATTTCAATTATTCTTATAAATAATAAAATTCTTCCTCGAAATTCAATTATTTAAAAAAAATGTAATAAAATTCTTGGAAAAATTTCAATTATTTTCAAAAATTTTCCTCATTTCAATTATTTTTAATATCTACTATTTTAATAAAATTTTTCAAAAGAATTCTATTATTTAAACAAAATTTTAATAAAAATTTCACAGAAATTCAATTACCAATTTTTTATAAATTTCTTCGCACCAACTCAACTATTTTTAATTTTTTTAATGAAGTTTCTCCAAAGAATTCAAATATATTCAGAGAATTGAAAAAATTAGTTCTGAGAAATTCAGTTATTTCGAAAAATTTAAATAAAATTCTTTTAAAAATTCTATTAATTAAAAAAATTTTAACTAAATTCTTTGCAAGACTTTGTTAATAAAATTACAATTTTAAGAAAATTTTCCTATACTATTCTATTATTTTCAATACGATTCTTCTTAAAAATTCAATTATTTTCACAAATAATACATTTTTTATGGGAATTCAATTATTTAAAAAAATTTGAATAAAATTCTTCGCTAGAAATCAATTATTATCATAAATAATAAAATTTTTTTTGAGAATTCAATTATTGAACAAAATTTGGATAAAATGCTTTATAAATTTGAAAAACTATAATAAAATTAGTCATAGAATACAATTATTATTTTGGTAAAATATAACATTCTTCCTAGGAATACAATTATTGTCAAAAATGTTTGTAAAAATCTTCAAAACAATTCAATTATTTTCGTAAAAAATAAAATTCTTCCCAAGAATTTAATTCTTTTCAAAAATAAACATTTTCACAGGAATTCAACTATTAAAAAAAACTTTTTTAATTCTTTGTCAGATTTCAATTTTTTAATGAAATTTAATTATTTTCAAAAAGTTTTTAAAAATTCTGAAAAATTCAATTATTTAAAGAAATTTGAATAAAATTCTTCACAAGAAATTAATTATTTTCATAAATAATAATAATTTTCACCGGAATTCAATTATTTTCATAAATAACGAAACTTATCGCAAAATTTCTATTATTTTTTATATAATTTAAGTAAAATGATATAAAAATTGCATTTATTCTTAACATTTTTTTTTAAATTCCCCGAAAGAATTCAATTATTTTTTAAAATTTTGATAAAATTCTTCATATCATATTCATATTCTTCTAATAAAAATTGATTAAGAAATGAATTTCACTTAAAATTTTAAATTATAATCGAATATTAAAAGCATTATAGCGTGAATTTTTAGAAATAATTGAATTTTGAAAAGGGTTCAAATTAAAATCTTTGAAAATTTGAATTTATTGTTTTTATAATAATATTCTTATAAGTTATTGAAATTGAGAATTATTAATTATTCCTATAGGGAAATAATTATGAAATATTTAAAAAAGAAGTTATCGATGTCCTTCAAGGTCAGGGAAAAAGTGAAAATTTTGTCTGGAAATCAGGGAAAAAAAATTAAAGTTTTGTGGCAACTCTGAACTTACCAACTAAAAGATTCGTTAATCAGCAATTACGAAAACCCCCCGAGTAACAAGTTTCATGTGTGTTCAATCATTTTTTAAAAATGTCGTCCGCCATATTGGATCCGCCATTTTGAATTTTGAAAAACAATCTACATATTCGTGATCAGCGACCTCAAAAACCTTAAAGTAATGAGTTTTGTCGAAATCTAGTGCAGTCATTACTTAAACTAATAATTTGTTTACATGTTTACATAAATAATATAAAATTATATAATAATTATATAATAATAAAATGATATAAAATTATATAATGTTTATAACAATATAAATATTTTGTATTACTATTTAATTGTAGTAAGTATAATCTTATCAATTATGTTTAACTATATCTCTGAATGTCAAAATTAAAGTGAAATTTAAATTTAAGACATAGTAAATGTCTATGAAATAAGTAAGAAAATAATTTTCGTCTAGATTGTTGTTAAATAAATAAATAATTAGTTTAAATAAATTATTAGCAGACGCATTGTAGTCTCTGGAAACTCAAGATCATTTTAAAAAAGAAATTAACAAAATCCGTTAAAAATTGTAAAAGCAATAGATTTTTGTCCCTGAAAAGTACTATTTACCCCACTGTGCGTTGACTTGGTTTTGATTTGAAATCAAATTTCTGTCCTATAGTAAAAAAATAACACCAAATATATTATTTTAATTCTTTTTGGTTTTAATTTAATCTCCAACGCTTTTTAATACCTCACAATTTACTATGTGTAACAGATTTTATATTAATCCTGAAATAGAAAATATTTTTAATATTTTTAAATCTTTAGATAAATATCACAGAATACACGAAAATAATCTGCTTTGTATTTCCGAAAACGTACAAGTTTCTAAAAATTAAACTTTAACTTACACTCGTACAAATATTTCCATTTCGAATTTTTTGTATTTTATCCATTAATTTCAGTTTTTAATTCCAAGTAGTAAATGTAACTTTAATAAAAATAAATCGACAGATGATTAATAACAGAGTTGTAGTTTGCTCTGTAGAAATTAGAAAAGTTTTCAAGGTGGCAAAAAATCTTTTTGTGTGTTCTGTAAAGATTTTACTATTTTACATTTCAAAAACACAAATTAAGACCCACAAAAGGCAAACGATATAATTTATAATTGTCTTTCTCTAAATGTAAATCGACATCTTAAACTTTACTTATACTGACAATGGGAAGATGTGTAATAACCATAAAACCTAAAGATAATAAAGTACGAGAATTTAAAGTAAATAGCTATAAAGTACTTGCACCCTTTGATCTTCCGCTTCAGAAACACCAGGATTCGTCCGGCTTTTACTCGAGGATCTCTTAATTTCAACGTAAAAGTCTAGAAGAGATCTTTTAAGAAGAGAGGTTTTTTTTTCCTTTTTTTTAAAAAAATTATTTCCGTAACTTCCCTGTTTCAATATTTTCAAAGGCATTTGTTAATTAGATTTTATTTTAAAGAACAAAAAAAGAAATATATAATTCATCTTAATAATTGATGCTGATATTAAAATCTGGAAGATGATTAAAGAAAAAAAGGTTAAATTAAATTAAATATTTAACGTGCAACAATTTTATGAAAAAGAAAATTTTGAATAGATATTGGTCAAAAGTATAGAGGTGCATCGTTATTATTCTATATCGAGAAAAACTTTCTCTTACTTTTTCAAACTCGTTAATATTTCTTATTGAATAAAAGAAATCAACGTTCGTTATTTCAAGAAAAATCTAGGTCAGTAAAAAGTAATTAAATTTTCCTGCTTCTTTCGCATTCTTTGGGGATGTGCAAGCTTTTTTTAAGAACACCATTTGCATTTTTTGTAAAATGAAATTCATCCGGCACCACGCGATCGGTTTCAATTCAGCATTTTATTACCGATATGATACATCCGGCATTCATTAACTTCAAATACTGATTTGAAATTAAATGTAATGTAATTTTCAGTGATAAATGAAATTGATGCCTAGTACTTCATTAGCCGTTTGAAAATCTAATAAACGGATAAATTTTAAATTAAACGAAAATTAGTTTAAGTTCTCTCTTACCTTTGAGGGCACCTTCAACACCTTTTAACCTTCCGATGAGTGCTGCAATTTGAGTTTTATATTCCAGCGATGCATTTTCGGTCTTCTCACTTAAGGCTCGTTTAATTGTCCTTTGATTTTCAGCCTCCTTCAATGTCAATTGTTCTTTCAAGCTGTCATCGAAAAGCTGTTTCTGAATTTTCAACTCCTTAAGCATTGAATCTTCAAACTGCTTTCTCTCTTCCAGCAACTGGAACAAATGATTAACAACACATTCTACGTTAATAATTTGTAAATCATAATTATATGTGTAGTCACATTTAGTAATAGCATGAAAGTAAAATAATAAATACTGTAAAACATTGTACAATTATTACAGTTTTATACTTTTCTTTAAAATGCGACCTAAGTTAATTTAAAAATTAACCAGCTTTTTGCTTTAAAAAGAGGTCAAATGGAGGATTAGTTTAGCAAGCGGGTAACCTTAGCTTGTCTCTAATGTGTCAAACAAACAAGAGCCATTACTTTGTCATTGTCTAGTACTCTCAGTGAAGACAGTACGAAAGACATTCCAGGTGAATTGAATTGGAGTAAAGATAATTAACATTCAAGACATTCCACGCTTACAGAATCGTGTATATATATACCATGGGCTCAAGACACACTTCTCATTTAAGGAATGTAATTGTATCAAAGTTCGATAACACATAACAGAATTGGGAAAGTGGACGCTCCAGAAGACGTTGATCGTAATTAAACTTTGATTAACTAAACCCGCACTTAAGGCTCTACCATAAACTGCCCTCATTGGTAAATGATCTATACGCTGGGCTTCAGAGGTCCCTTCAAACCACAAGCTGATGTAGTTTGTGTACCAACCACAAACAATCACTTCTGTTCCGAAACTTATGTCTATAATATTGTAATGTATGGATAACATCACAGGATATTTTTTTATGTTCTTAAAAAGTGTACTTTATTATAACTAAGTCTTTTTTTCGTTCTATTAACAACAAATCTTAAAATAGATTTCAAAATAATAATTAAATCATATAAATTTATCTTAATATGAAAATTAAGGATTCGACAAAATTTCATCAACTGCACGTTACCTAAAATGCGTATTTTTGCGTATTTAAACGTAAATTGCTCGAAAACTAGAGACAATCCAATATTTTCAAGGTCAAACTCGGATTCTACAGACAAAATCCTATAAGAATTGGCTTCCATTGGTTGGGCCACAAAATGTTATTGATTATTATTCTAAAGCTTGGTGTAGAAGGAAATCAGGATTCGATGCTTTCAAATCTATGATCAGTTATTAAAAATCCAAAATGGCAGATGAGATTTGGTGCCAATCTGAGCCTAACTTGTCTTCCAAAAGTTTAAAAAATGAAAAAATAGAATAATTTAGTTAATTTAATTATAAATAATATGCTGGACAAATAAACAAAATGGCGCAACCATAAAAAGCAACAAAAATATGTTTTTCTTTAGTGGTACTTGGGCAAACTTTGGATCAACCCAACGTGACCCGAACTGTAATTTCCCAAAGTATTCCCAAACTCAAAATTTAATTGGATTTACTGTTATAAATAAATCAAAAGTTTAAGAAAAATAAAACCTTAGTTAATTATTTTAATATTTAAATAATATCCAGTGTGGAAGTTCAATCTGGAACAGATCTGAGTTCCTATTTAAGAAAAAGTAAGAAAAATTAAAACTTTAGTTTAATATTACTAATAATCGTTTAATATTAATTATTTAAATAATATCTTCCATGAATAAGTAAAATGTATGAGAATTTTTTATTTTTTAATTTATAGAACTAAGCTAATTAATAATATCTTACTCGTGTTTTGAGATTGGTGTTTCAGACTCCCTCACCATTCTCAATAATTTATTTCTTATTTTTATTCAATTTATTACTAATAACAACAGTTGAACATTATTTTTTAATTTTGTGTACAACAAATTATTTAAATGAATTAAAATTGCAAAAAAAATTTTAACTTTAATGTCATATTGTGAACTATCTTTGGTACTTATTAAAATCTTATTAAACTTGCTATGAATGTAAAAATTATTAATTGTAAAATGTGTTATAACTTATAAGTGAAGTTATTTAATAGAATAATTAAAAATTTAGTTTAATTGCTTTTAATTTATTATTTCTAACGTAGCCCTACTTTTTCCTCATCTTCAATTTAATAATTATAAGTCTCAATGATACTTGAAATTAAAACTTTACTGCATATACACGTCGTTAGCATAGTCGTTAGAGCTTTAGCCTATAAGTCCATAGGTCGTAGATACGATTCCCTTTGTGCGAAATTTTGTTTGTTTTCATAGGTTTGCGTTATTTCTAGATTTTAATTGTACCAAAAGTTCAAAATGCAACACATACACTTACTGTAATTGCCTATTTATTTTTTATTTAATTTTTAAATTATATAAACATTTTTTCTACTTTATTTACTACATTCATTGTTAGTCTCCATTTTTAATATAATTTAATTAAGAAGAGGAATATTTAATTAAAAGAAACTATATTTATTCATATTATTATTTACTATTTTGTTGTTAAACTATTTATAATTATTAATTTACAACTATAAAAAGCAATATGGCCCAGATTGGACACTAGTCAATGGAACGAAATCAGCTTTTCTTCGACAACTTTTTAAAAATTTACTTTTGAACCGAAGTGTAATGAGAAATTATTTATTTATCGAAAGGTATTTTTTTAAATAATAAAATAAAAAAATCAATTTTATGATTTTAAAAAATAGCTTTCGATAAATAATGAATTTGTCATTAAACTTTGGTTCACAAAAATAAGTTTTTAAAAAGTAATTGAAGAAAACTTATTTCGTTAAACGTACTATGAATTACTTGGCCCTTAGCCATCATCTAGATTGCAAAAATAACGTCATTATACGTGACAAGTTGAACTTTATAAGTAAAATCTTATAGGTTCTGTTTGTTATGTTTTAACTTAAATAAAGGATTTTCTTTTCTATATGACTAAAAAATATTAATTACTTGCTCTGTGAGTTTCAGAATTGGATCTGCCTAACTTTCCAAGAAAATAAATAATAAAAATGTTCTGATGATGTGGCTCAAATTTTTAGTTTTATATAATGCGAATATAGCTCAATTTCAAGATCTTGCTACAGATGCTAGTTTGTTTCAGGTGAAGCTAGAAATGTGACCCACAGCATTGTACATTTTTATTTATTTCTCGGAATGTTATGCAAATCTCATTTAATTTTGAAACTCACTGAGCACCCAGAGGTACGTATGTACGAACACCACAAAAAAAAAATTAACCAAAAAAAGGAGTTTTTTCAAAAATCGGAAATAAAAATTTTTTTCTTTAATATCAACAAAGCATCGGAATTGCTCTCAATGTATATTTATGAATATTTCAATATTTTCTTTCAAAAGAAATTAGTTATATTTTTATTGTATATTTTATTACGTAATATATTGAAAAATCGTTTCTCGATATATTAATATTAAACTTCTTTTCTTATTAAATTATTAATAATTAATTATTCAATTGAACATTAATAAAGACAGATTTTAATAAATATTAATATCATGATCAACAGTAAACCAAAAATATGTGAAGAGAATATGATTCTCAAATTCATAATAACTAAGAAAGAAAAATCTATAACTAACAAGAAAAGAAATAACTAAGAAAAGAAAATCCTGTCTTTAAAATAAAATTTCCTATTCCGAAGAGGAAGTAGCATATCAACCTGAACAAAGAACTTGTGCAATATGGTTATGCAAAGTGGAATATGATTGAAGTGCGAAGCATGAGGGTGAAAATAATGCGCGCTGAAACTAGCAATTAAAACTCACCATTGGTCTCTTTCCTCAACAACTTTTTAATTTCCATTTTTTTTTTGTTAAAGAAAACATTGATTAAGAAAATAACCGATGATTAATGAAACCAATATAACACTTGTCAATATTTTTGAGAATAGAATTTGAAGTAAAATTTTCAGCTGGCATCGTTTATGAAATATTCAATTGAATCTGTAATCTTTGATTCCCAAATGTTTCAATTGCGCAGAGGTCAGCTTGTTTGCGGTTTTATATTGTCAAGGAGACTACAACAGGATAAATAAAATACCAATAACTGATCGAGTAATGAAAATAATGTTTCTGTTTTATATAAAAAGCTTTTTGTGAAATAACAAGAAAACTATATCCATATATTTTTTTTCTATTTCCTGATCATCAAATATAGTTTAGGAATAGTTTGACAGAGTAGTAATAGCTTATAATCCGTATTGTAAAATCAAAAACGTACACGTTTCCCTTGCCGGACACAAAACGACTATACGTCATGGAAAGGAGATTAAATAAAGCCGCATAAAATCTGCAATGTGTGAGATTCGGTATCTAGAGCAACGTCATGACATTTTCTTTTCGAGAAAATATCATCGACTGACGATATAAATCATCAAACATCATCATCATCATCATCATCATCATCATCATCATCATCATCATCAAACATTGATAAAAAAGAGTAAAAATTTCTTAGCAATAATATAAAGTTTCATTTTTCAAAGAATTGAAATTAATAAAAGAATTATACTACAACTATAACAAGAACGTCAATATTTTATAAACAAATCTTGAATAATTTACAAGTTAAATAAAGAGTACGAAAATATTTCCTGTTGATATATAAATAATTCAAAACGCCTTTGAGAACGTCTTTATCGACGTGACTAGTAGACTGAATAATGCACAAAAATTTGACATTTCCTTGAATCCCGTTATGCAGTTGTAGATTTAGAGACACGTATAAACACTACAAGAAGAAGAATCTTTAGCTCTAAAGGGTAAAAGTAAATGAATCGAGTATTGAATAAACTTCGACATTCTTAGAACACGAAATCAAAAAATTACCATTCGAATCACGCATCTTTCGATTCGTCTTACAAAATTACTCTCTAAATTTGAATTAGCCTAAGGTCGCTGACTGGGTAGCGATAAGTGTACAGCTGATTCAAACATTGTACAATACACTAATGAAACAGCGAGTAATCCCTATAATTCTTTACTCTATCTACACTGGCTGTTTTCGGCACTCACTCAGGGTTAACCCCGAGTTAGCGATGATTCAATCAATAACTAGATTGCTGCTGGGATGTTGATGAACAAGGTCCTAAAGAATAGAAAATTTTATTGTAACTTTTAAGCGCTTTTAAGTAGGGTGAT